ACAATCCTTTTTCATTGAGTAGTCGGGATTCTAGCCTTATGAAGCACTAAATTTTTCGCGCTGAATGGTGGAGGGACCAAACTCTAGGTTAATAATTGTAAAAAAAAAAAAAAAAAAAAAAAGAAAGTTGTAAAAGCAATAAAAAGTGAGGACTTTTCCCAAAAGGTGAGAAGTGGGAAATGATTAGATGGAGGTTATTTTGATTTGTAACCTAGTCGATTTGAGCTTGTAAGTCTTTAGGGGTGTTTAAACACCTAATACTCTAAAGCCGTCCGGTTTGGGAGTCATTGACCTAACGCTTGACCTCATGGATCGCTAGAAAGCTTAATAGATCACTACATTGCACCATGCTTCCATCTTTGATCCTTTAGGATAGTAGAAAAAAAAAATCGAGTGAAAAGAATAAGCGTACCTAGTTGAATAAAGTTTTAATAAAAGGTCCACTCTTTATTTTGATGATCGGTACTAGATTTGTGTACTAGTTTGAGGGTAAGGATGTGATCATTTCTTTAGTTGGCTTATATAGCAATACATTTGATGCCGGTTTACTCAAAAAGAATTCTAGTGTTGTTTTGATTTGCATGATCATTTTATTAATCTGTGGAGGACCATACTTGCTTTCTTGATATTGAAATTTTGAGAGATTGCTTGGAAAGGGTTGAAAAATTGCATACTTGAGGTAGTTTTCTCTCAATGCTTGTTTTATATATTGGTACCTCTTTGATGAGAACGAGTTTAATGTTTGTAAGTATCATTTCTGGAAACCATCACGAGACTTCACTCGTCCACTAGGGGTAACCTAGGGGTTTAAAAGGCTTGCTGCATATGTTAAATGCAATCGTGTTCCTTACGAAAGTGGCGTTATCCTTTTATTGCTTTCTAGTTCATAGTTGTTTAGTTGTTCATTTTTTTCTTTATTTAGTAGTTCATTGCTAAGGACTAGCAATATCTAAGTTTGGGGGTGTGATGAGTGCTCAAATGTAACGCATTTTAGTACCTAAGTTAGGGTATTCTAGTCCAATCATCTATCTTATTTTTATGTCTTAGATACTTATTTGTGTTTTTGCCTATTTCAGGTGAATAATGTTCAAACAGGCTAACAAGAGCCATTTAGATCATTTTTGGAGCTAAGAAACAAAGTTGGAAAGAAGCCAAGAAAAATGTATTAGGGCAACTTCGATCGATCGAAGGGGAGTCCCGGTCGATCGAAGTGATCTTCAATCGATCGAAATCAAGGCGGTGCCAGCTCAGCCATTTGGATAAAGTCTGAAAATATTTTTGTGCCACGTCAGCTTCGATCGATCGAAGCCCAAGTGTTTGATTGATCGATCGAAAATGCTGCTGGTAATGAGATATCTAATTCCCGAGCGTGCCGTTTTCCATTTACCTTGCATAGTTGCGAATTTCCTCCAATCACAGGTTATTATTCTGACTTGGTCCTCACTCAAAGGAGTGTGTAATTGATTTATTAAACAATCATTGTAATAGATAGATAGTTTTTGATCACCAATTAGAGAATAGAAAAATTTTCTCTCTAGAACTAGGGTTTTAGGAAGAAAGTAAGGATGAAGATGATGATGCCAACCTCCAAGCTAGCCCTTGAGGGTTCCATGTCCACTACCATGAATGGCTAAATCCTTCTCTTGGGGCTAGAGATGGCCCCTAGGCTTGCTTCTCAAACTTAAACTTTATGTATTTTTGGGGATTCTAATTGTAATGAATGTTTTGATAATGAATATATATAGATCTTGTAATCTTTACTTGATTTGTATGATTTAATGCTTTTAATTGATTATTTGGCTCTAGTCATATGTCTATGTATGCTAGAATTGATGTTTATGTGTTTTTCTCTAGATTTAATGGAATTGATACATGTCTATGTGTGTTGATGATGTTAATCTAGTGATGGTCAAGGCATAGTGCTTAATTGAACACTCTTGAGATTTATTTGATGGTTCACACTTGTTTATTAGTGAATTATATCACATCTCTAGTTTAATTAGTTTAATTTCATGTCTCTAGTCTAGTGTAGTGTAATTGCTTTAAATTCTTAGGTAAGTGAACAATCTATACTTTTCTTGGTATTTCATACTTATGAATGCAAAAAGTGTATTTCTCTAGATATTTGTGTGTGAATTAATTGTGGTTTAATTGAATAGATTTTGGTCTCATTTGATAGATTGTACTATTCATTTAATTGACTAGACAAACTATACTTATTTGCCTTCCATGCTTAGTTTCAATTCATGTCACACACACCCAAGTTACAATTTAAATTTCCCCATTAATGTATAATTGCTAGTGTTTGATGAAGTGAAGCTTAGTGGTGTCTCTATGCCCCAAGACCTCTTCTTATATCTTTTTCCTACTCTCTAGATTGCTCTTTTTATTTGCATTAATCTTTAATTGCATTATAGTTTAATTAAACAAACCACCAACCATCTTTGATCATTTGACCTACTACTCTGACATTAATTTCTGTCACAAACACACCTCCTTTCTCTTGGGACGATCCCTACTCACTCTAGCTATATTTTTAGTTGAAAGTAGTAGTGGCATTTTACAAATTTAAACTTGGCCACATTCTATCACACTAATTTGGTTGCCACGGCGAGCGACACACCAACCATGCCTTGACCATCACTAGATTTATAATTCCAACACATGTAGACATGCATTAAACTCATAAAATCTAGTGTAAGCACATGACCATTCATTCTAATATACATAGACATATGAATAGAAATAGAAGATCAATTAGAAGAATTAATCCATATAAATCATGTAAGAACTAAAATCTATATATAATTATGATCAAAACATTATTTACAACATAAATCCCCCAAAACTACAAAATACTAAGTTTTGGAAGCAAGCCTAGGGGCTATCTCTAGCCCTAAGAGAAGGATTTAGCCACTCATGGTCGTTGTCATCCAACCCTCAAGGGCTTTCTTCATTGTAGGCACCATTTTCTTCCTCTTGTTTTGGTCTCCAAAAACCCTAACTAGAGAGAGAAAATATCTAAAACTATATTTAATCTTGGAAAAACTAGTGACAATTGGTTCAATTTCATTTAAACACAAGCCTCTTTGAGTAAGTAATAAGTTAGAAAATAGGCCTTTGATTGGTGCAAACTTGCAGCTACAAAAGTTGGTGGAGTTCGGGCGTGCTCGGGAATTAAATAGCTCACTGCCAACAGGGCTTCGATCGATCAAAAAATGATGTGGCAAAGATATTTTTGACGACTGGTGACCTTGTCTATTGATCTGACACTGCTTTTATTTCGATCGATTGTAGATCTCTTCGATCGATCGGGAAATCCTTCGATCGATTGAAAACTGTCCAGTGCAATTTTTTTTGACTTTTTTTGAATTTTCTTCTTGACTCCAAAAAGGAGCTAAAAGGCTCTTTTTAGCTTGTTTGAACCTTATTAACTTGAAATAGACAAAAACACAAATTAGAACTAAAATAGAAAAGTAAGATAGATAAATGGACTAAAATACCCTAACTTAGGTGCTAAAATGCATTACATTTGAGCACTTATCACACCCCCAAACTTTGATATTGCTAGTCCCTAGCTATGAACTACAAAGCAAAGAAAGAAATAAATAACTATATAACTATAAACTAGAAAGTAATAAAAGGATAACGCCACTTTCTTAGGGAACACGATTTCATTTAGCATATGCAACAAGCCTTTTAAACCCCTAGGTTACCCCTAGTGAACGAGTGAAGTCTCGTGAGGGTTTCTAGAAATGATATTCACAAACATTAAGCTTTTCTCACTAAAGAAGCACCAACATACAAAACAAGCATTGGGAAAAAATTACCTCAAGTATGCAATTTTTCAACCATCTCTAAAACACTCTCCAAAATTTTAATAACAGGCAAGCAAGTATGGTCCTCTACACATCAAGAGAATGATCATGCAAATTAAAATAACTCTAGAATCATTTTTAAGAGAACCGACATCAAATATGTTGTTATATTAGCTAACTAAAAAAATGGTCACAAATAGCCTCAAGTTAACACACAAATCTAGTACCGATCATCAAGATATAGAGTGAACCTTTTATTAAAATTTTATTCAACTAGGTGCACTTATTTATTTTTATTTTTTATTTTTTATTTTTATTTTTAAGGATCAAAGATAAAAGCATGGTGTAATGTATCTGTTAAGACACCCGTAAGAACTTATAAGCTCAAATCAATTAGGTTACAAATCAAAACAACCTCCATTTAATCATTTCCTACTTCTCACCTTTGTTAAGAAGTCCTCACTTTTTTTTTTTCTTTTTTTTTTTGAACCTACAATTTGGGCCCTCCACCTTTCGGCGCGAGAAATTCAATGCTTGATGAGACTACAATCCCGGCTACTTAATAAAAAGGATTTGTTATCCACCTTTGTCAAGAAAAAAAGCTTTCAAAGCACTGCTAACTCAATTGGGATATAACCAAATCAATAATCAACAAAGCATATTATACCCCACAAATGAATGCTAGTGTTCGCCCATGCTAGTGTAGAATCCTAAAGTGAATCTCAAAACGATCACAAGATCAAGATGATGTGAACCACAAATGCAAGCATGATATCCAATTTTTAAAAAATTTACTTATAAATGGCATTCACAAGGTATACAAGGAGTTTTAAACTCTCAAGTCAAGCAATTTTTAAATTCTTAGTATCATGGCCCTCAGAAGATCAAAATTATTGCTACGCTCTCAAATCACCATATGCATAGAAAATAAATGCGACATGCTAAAATATACTAACACACCTTTAAACTTAATTTGTGCATTGTCCTCAATGTATAAAGAAAGCAACAGATAATGGAAAGAGTATACCAAATGAATGTAGCAGATAGGACACGGTAACGAAAGCTTAGCATCGGAAGGCACACTCCCAAACTTAGATTCCAAAAACCTGTCTGAAAATTGTTAAACTAACAACTGTCAAAGCATATGCATTGATAATCTAAATAAAAGATGGAATAGAGAACTGGGCAAAAATCCATAGCATATAACAATATAAAGCGCAGAATATCCAAAACCAAAATCAATAATGTCAAAATCCCAACAATCCATATATGCAAATAAATCCAAAACCAATATCTAAAACCATGTGTATCTAGTGCAGTACAAAATAATATCCAAAACCAATGTAAATATCGCAACACAGAGCAAATATCTCCAAAAATATCAATATATAAAAATGTATCAGATCATGGAATGAGTAATAGAGAGAGAGAATGGTGGAATCATGGAGAAGCATCCGGCTCAAGCATGTCAGGAATGATCTGGAGCATATCTGACATTTCCCGACTATGTTGAGTGAAAGACGTCTGAATATCTATCCGCAAATCTGAGATGTCTCTCCTCGTATTGGCTACAGCCCTTGCTAGATCACCTGGCTAAGTCATCATGCCACCTCACCAAATCGTCATGCTGCCCCGTCATGTCAGCTCTGAAAGAAGTAAAACCTGAATGCAGCTGAGTCACGTCAGCTCTGTGGCTAGAATCTAAACTGGCATGATGAGAATGAGTGTCAGCCTGGAGCATCTGCTCTGAAGGAGGAACATATGAGGGGCCTGGCTACTGAGACGGATGTGGAGGAAGAGGTGGACTAGGCAGTGACGTGGATGTGGAAGTAGTAGTACGCTGCCTTTGTCTGGTCTGGAGGAAGAAGGTGATCCCTCGTTTGCCTCCTCCTCTGCTCTCTACTGAGCTCGTTACCTCTTCTGCTCTCTATTCTTCCTATTCTTCAAGCAAGCATTTTAAGTCTTAGTCCACTATTTGTTATCATACACCCTTTTCTCTCTCTGCTCTCCAAGCTTTGTAATTTCAGCTGGGTCAAATGAATAACCCTGGTCAATCAATATCTGTGTGATCAGATGGCCAAATGGTAAAGGCCAAGTATCAACTCTGGAATTGTGCTTGAAAATCAGATTGTTTCGGTACTTAAGAATAATCTCCCAGATAAGAGCAGGAATAGATATTCAGCAACCCTGGCTCAAATTGTATAGAGCCTTCAGAATCCCCTCTCGCCTTTGTGTTCCATGGCCTGAAGGAAAGGCATTAAGATGCAGCACAGAAACTAAGAACCAATAGCAGGGATCAATATTGACCCGATCTGCAATATATTGCCTAAAAAGGCTGCCTATGGGGAGAGTGTAGCAACCATAGTCATCTCAACAAGGTAAGTTGAAATGATTGGATACAGAGGCTCCTCGAAGTTAGCGACCACTGGTGAGAGATGAGGGCATTGGCAGGAGGCAACAATGGCAAGGATAGAAATATCAATGTCCTAACCATCTACGGTCGTGTGCATGAGCTGGCGATCATCCTCATCCATCCGGAGGTGCTGGAAAAATAGAGCAACCAATTGGGGGTATACTATAGTGTCTGCTAGTCATGATAGCATCTATGCCCCTGCGGGTAAGCTCATTAAAAGACCACTGGGTCTGCTCTAACTCGGCAAATAGCTCTCTGTCAAATCTGTACTCCGATTCCAATTTCCTGCCGGAGAAGTAGGGAGTAGGCATTACCCTGAAAATGGGGCTTTGTGCATTCATATAAGATAGCCCTGAAGATGCGAATGTAGATGCAGTAGCCTCAGATGATGAAGAAGATTCATCCTCTAGAGATGGAGGAGGCTGTGTAGCTCTGGCTACTCTCTTTCGGGCAAGTGTCTTTTGTCTACTCTGCATCTGCAAAAGCAACAAATATAAATTAGTGCACAGTTATAAAATGAGGTAAGCAACTGATAATAAAACACAAAGTATGTCTAAATCAAGTAGAAACAGAAAATAGACATATAAGAACATGTTTGTGCAAGAAGTGATCAAGATAGCTTCAAGAATAGTAGTCAAAATGCTTCAACAAGACAGAATAGATCATGGGACAATAAGCAATCTCAGGCACGCAAAACAATGCAATGTTAGCATAGAGGGTAGAAAAGTCACTTTTGGAAGCATTTAAGCAAAAGTGAGATCAAAATGAGAAGTATAGGATGTGATGTGCATTAAGTATGCAACGTGCGTTCACAAACCTAAAACTCAATAAGATTCTGCAATTTCATGGCAAGTAGACCTAGGATGACATCGTATCAATTCCCTAGCAAGAATGTCTACAAATTCAATATTTAAGACCAATGGACCAAACAGGATGACATGGAGAATATAATCATGGCAACTGTCTACTTAGAACCCAATAAGCATGCATATCATGAAATAAAGACTAAGTGAAATGTGCAGTTGCAAAACACTTCAATCCTAGGCATGTTATGATATACAAGTTCAAAAATGAATCCTAGACATAGTATGCAACTATATGGCAAGTATCTGAATGATGCACAAATATCAAAGTCAAACTCCAATCATAGAAATATCCCATACTCCATTTCAATAAAGTCAACAACCTATGATCACTCATGGCTTGTGACCCCCTCTAAGAAATATATAAGTAGAAAATTGATCCCTTATGGCTTGCGACCCCCTTTAAAGCTTAAATAAAGCAAAGAATGGTCAAAGACTGAGAATAACAAAAAACTTACCCATTTTGAATCAAAATCATGACCGGCAAAGAACCTCGGTCTCAAGCCCTCACTAACCTTTCAGAAATGGATCACAAGTATATACAATCAAGCAAATGGCATTTTAAGAACATCTTTCCAAGACAAGATAACATACCCCCAAACTTACTTCAAATGATATTTAAAATTCAAACGAAGCTCACAAATAGGTACTAAGGCCAAAGAACAACAATGGTATCCAAATCATGAATTTTGAACTCTAAACATTCATTTCCCTCCCCCAAACTTATTCAAAGACCAATGCAACAATGATTTATTCAAATGATGCACACAAACTTTCAAAATCATCAATGTGACAAAAATGTGTGCAAAATGTATATATACAAGAAACTAGTTGCAAATTATTCCAAAAAGAACAACAATTATTCAAAGAAGATCACCTTTGACAAGTTTCAAGCTTATCAAGCAACATTAGACCTTTCACTTTAAAAAGTTTGGTTTAGAAGGTCAATTCAACACATTTTTTCAAGAATCAAGAATTGAGCACAAACAAGTTCAATAGCGCTTAGCACATGCATTTAGATGGAAAGAAAACAAATGGAACAAGTTGCATCTCATTTAAGGGCATTTTGGTCAACTTAAAAAAATTTCAACACTTTTGGGTCAAATTTAGAATTTTTAAAAACTTTGAGGTCTAAACATTCATATGCATTGTAGATGAGCATCATAACAAGAACCATGCATTGAATATTCATTAAAGGAAGGAATTAAGTAACTCGACTTCACATTTTCAAAACAAAATTCAAAAACTCCTTTTCTCATTTTGGAAACCAACAAGTATAATCACGAAGTCATTTTAAGCATTCAAGAATCCTTTTGCCAAAACATGCACCTTAACCAAGTGCATTCAACAAATTAAGATAAAAAAAACTGGCAAAAAGTTCCAATTCAATTCATAATTATGGATTTTAACTTGACTTTGCATTTTTAGGGCTCAAAAACACAAGTTTTAACTTTAAAGCACAATATTCATGCATTTAAAACAAACATCCATGCATTTTCATACTCAATGCGAACAAATGAAACAATTTGAGAATCATGTTCACAAACATTTAATTTCATATGCCATTGCAACTCCAAAATCTTTCAAGAAATTTTTCTAGTTTTAAAATTTTCCATTTCAATTCAATTCTTTCAAACCAATTCCATTTTGACAATCATGTTTCCATTTCAACTTACAAAACAACCATTCCAATTCTATGACATTTAATTCCAAATTCCATTCACAAGTTAAAATCTCAAAACAACTTTCCAAAAATTTTTATTTTTCAACTCAACTCAAAAATTTTAACTTTGAAGTTCTTTTCCAATTCCCATTTCAATTTAAATCCACAAAACCAAATTCCATTTAGAGATTTTAAAACCACAATTCAAGTTTATTTTTGCAAAAATTCAGCATTAGTTCCTCTTAAATTATACATGCCACAAAATATTTTTCAATAAAGGCAAACATAGCATGCATATATGGAATCAAAATCAAACTCTAAACATCTATATATCCACCAATTTAAAGTCTCAAACTCTATTTAACACATTAATGGACACAGCTTACAACCAAAATCCACATTTAATTTGCCTACTCTCCATCAAAAATTTATATACTGCCCCAACAACATCAAGTTCATTCATAGATTTTTCCATCCTCCATCAACAAACAACCCAACAACAATAAACCAAGTTTTCAGCCCATTCTCCTTTTACATAACAATCCCAAATTCCACAAATGAAAATGTCCATTCTCCTTTTACATAACAACAAACCGTCATAGCCCAACTTTACAGTAATTAAAATCACGGTGTAAGTATCATCACAGTCCCATGCTGCATTTCAGTTTCAGTATACAATTCAGTCCATTTTTTTTTTAATTTTCTGAGTTCCATTTTTTTTGATTTTTCAAGTCCAGTTTTCTATGATTGAACACACAAATATATATTCATAGGAAAATAAAACTAAAATTGAAAAATGTAAAAACAAAAGAAAAATTAAAATCAAAAACAAAAAGAACGAATGTTTACATACCCGAATCGAAAATGAGAATAGGAGACGAAGAGAGAAAGAGACTTGGGATGAATCCAAGAATTTTTGGCCTACCGTGGCCGGAAAGGATGATCGGAGTTTCGCCGGAACTTGCAGAGGTCCAGCCGGTTTGAATCGGCCTCTCCTTGACCTAAATCGGCTGGAGGTCGAGAGAAAGAAGAGAATAGAGAGATTGGAGAGCTACACCGATGAGATGAGGCTTGGCCGCAGGCCAAGAGTTCACCGGAATCAATGGAGGATGGCGGCACGAAGAGAAAGGAAGCCTTGGGCTTTGCCAGAGCAAAGAGGGTGAGAGGGGGTGAATGGTTGATGGCGAGGGACATAGGAACTTGATAGATTTAAGAGAGAGTTTGTGAGGAAAGAGAATCGGGGAGAGAGAAGGTGAGAAGAAAGGAAGGCCGAGAGTTAGAAAGGAAGAGAGAGAAAGAGAAAAGAAAGAAAAAGAAAAGAAAAAGGAATAAAGTGGAGAGAGAAAAAGCATTAAAAATTTAGAGTTGGGAAGGCAACAGCCAAAGTAGTTTTATGGAAATTTAAAAAGAACGTAATTTTGATCAATTGAAGAAGCCTTCTATCTATCGAAGGAGAGAATTGGAAGAATTATGACCCAAGTTCGATCGATTGAAAATTTTCTCAATTGATCAAAATAGCTTCGATTAATTAAATGGAAGATGAAAAGCTTGATTCAAGAACTTCGATCGATCGAAAAGGTGAGATCCCAAGAGCTATTTTCTAAGCAAAATAAGGCTCTGTAAAATTCAATCGATCGAAGAGGGTCTTCGTTCGATCGAAGATGACAATGAAAGTTGGTATGGTCGTTTATCAACAAGTTAAAATGTGTTAAAGAGTAGCCAAGTTTGAATTTGTAAAGTGTCACTACTACCTCTAACTACTAATATAGTTAAGGTGAGTAGGGATCGTCCCAAATGAAAGGAAGCAATATTGATATGGAAACAACGTTGGACTAATAGGTGGGGTGATCAAAGATGTTTCGATTGGTAAATTAAACTATAATGTTAAACAAATTCAATACAAAACAATTAAAGTAAATAAAGGGTAAAGAACAAGAGAGAGGGATCTTGAGATTTAGAGGTCACCACTAAATATCGCCTTTCTAGACATTCAGCGTGTAATGAATGAGGGAAAATATATGTTGCAATACTAATATGTGTGATTAATTGAATCAATAAGTATAAATGACTAATTAAGTATGCATTGTCTAGACAACCTAATGAATAACACAATATATCAAACTAAGCCATTATTCCTTCCTTTAAGCTCACAATCAAAACACATTAACAAGCTAGAGAATTGTACTACTTGCATTCATAAGCATGGAACATCAAATAACAAGCATAGATGTCTTCCCATCTAAGAAAGTAAGGCAATTACACTACAACTAAACTAGAGACATGAAAATTAAACTAATTAAACTAAGGTAGATGCATAATCCATCAAGAAATGAGTATGAACCATCAAACAAATCACAAGAGTATTCCATTAAAGCACTATGCATTGACAAACTCTAGATTCATAGCATTAACACACATAAACATGCATCAATAACACAAAACCTAGAGATAAACACATGAGCATCTAATTATAGCAAACATAGACATATGAGTAGAATGAAATGATCAATTGAAAGTATTAAACAACAAAAATCATTGTAGAAACAAGATTCATATATAAATCAAATGTCAAGACAAGAATTACAACACAAATCCCCTCAAAATACAAAACATTAAGATCTAGAAGGCATATTTAGGGCTAACTCTAGCCCCAAGAAGATATTTAGCCACTCATTGATGTAGTCATCTAACCTTCAAGAGCCATCTCCATGGTAGGAATGATTTTCTTCTTAATGAAAACCCTAGATGAATGGAAGAACTCCCAAATGGTGTGTATCTCTCTAATCTCTAGACTCCTCCAACCTCTCTCTCTAAGATTGTGTGTATTTCTAAGATTGTATATGTGTAAAATGGCTCAAAATCCTTATATAGGTAGCTCAAATGTCACACCCAATGGTCAGGTTTCGTGCACTAGGGCCCATTTAATGATTGCACCACGAGCCATCTTTTAATGAACTGAACTCTATTTTTTTCGAACTTGAGGAGGTTCGATCGATCAAACCATTGCGGCGCCTTTTGGAATACTGACAAATCTGAGATATTTTAGGAAAAAGACAAAAGTGGTAGATGAGGATAAAATCAAAGAAGTTCGATCAATTGAAAGGATGTTGAATCGATCGAAGATGGAAATTCTTGGGGATAAGGACAAGAGGCTCGATTCATCTTGATAAGGCTGGATTGATTACTATGAGATCGATCGAAGATTTGTCTAATCGATCGAAACTTGCTATTTTCCACCACTTTGCTTCCACTTTGCTCTTTTCTTCCATTTAGCTTGAGATTGCCTCTTTTATGCTCTAATTTAGCTGAATTGACTTATTTTAGGGATATGTACCTAAAAAGGGCAATAACACTAAATTAGTCTAAAACGGGAAAATAAGATGAATAAATGTCCTAGAATACTCAAGCTTAAAGGGTTTAAATTTGCACTTTTTAACGCTCCTCAAAAGTGCAGGAAATGCTTAAAACTGCCAGGAAACTGGAATAATCGACTCAAAACATATCTAGACAACACAGAAGATAACAAAAGAAGAAATAAGGGAGGAATATGGTTTGGAAACCCTACGAAGTACTAGTGTTTAATGTCTCTAGCAAGACGTTGGGCTCTTTTAGCCCGGATAAAAAATCTTGTTAGACGTCCCCTTCTCAACGGGGTGAATTGAATTTCAAACCCCACCCAATAAATCATTCCTTAAGGAAATTGTTGGATTTGATTCAAGTATACTTGACGGCTTTTGATCAAAGAAACTCTTGGGCTTCCATGCCCTTTCAACATTGGAATTCAAGACGATATCTTTTGAAGATTCATTAGGAACTAAAACATTTGATTTTTTAACACAAGAAGATAACTCATTTTTTTCAACTTTACTCTCAAGACTTTTTTCCACAACAAGAATCTCTTCATGTTTGTCCATTGAATTAGGGGTTGGATTGAATATGTTCAACTTTACTTTTATGTGGCCAAAAGAAATCTTTATTATCCCCGTCTTACAATTAATGTTGGCATTGACAGAAGCCAAGAAAGGACGGCGAAGGATAACGGGTATTTGGCTCTTTGGATTGGGAATCGGTTCTGTGTCAATGACTACGAAATCAATTAGGAAGAAGAATTTATCAATTTTTATCAAAACATCCCCAATTATACCCCAGGCCTTTTTGATAGATCTGTCGGGTAGTTGCAAAACTACCGACGTTGGCTTTAAATCACCCAAGCCCAATTGGAAATATACCGAGTATGGAAGAAGATTCACACTCGCCCCTAAATCCAAAAGATCCCGATTAATGACATGGTCACCTATGATGCAAGATGTAATGGGTGAACTGGGATCTTTGAATTTGGGTAGAGTGTTGTGTTGCAAAATGGAGCTCACTTTCTCAGTAAGGACAACTTTCTTTGGTGTTTGGCTCTTGTTTTTTCTATATAGAGTGCACAAATCTTTTAAAAATTTGGCATAGGCCGAAATTTATCTAATGGCATCTAAGAGAGGAAGATTTATTTTAACTTGCCGTAACACATCAATGATTTCATTCACCTTACCTTGTTGCTTTTTAAAAGATGTGGATGCTTTCAAAGCATCTAGAAATGGAGCTTTTGGCTCAAAAGATTTTTCAAAAACATTTGATGAAGAATTCTCAAAAATGGGGTTCTTTCTACTAAATGAAGGAGGAATAGGATGTGAAACGGGACGGGTGTCAACACTAGGTTGCACCGGTTCACTCTATTTATTAGAAATATCAACTTGGTTATTAATCACCCTTCCACTTCTCAAAGTGATCACCACATTAACTTGTTCAAGTGAAGGACCTTCCGAAGGGGAAATTGTCTCCATTACGAATTGTTGCTTGGGTGCGGGATTAAGAGGCATTTTTTTTTTCCTCTTGCATTTAATATGCTAGCTATTTGCCTTACTTGGGTTTCTAGCTTGGCAATGATTGTGAGTAAGAATGAAGCAATTGAGTGTTGGCTTCCAAAGTGCCTAAAGCCGATAGATTTTTTTCCTTAAAAACGGGACTTCTAGGATGACTTTGAGAATATGATGGTTTATTGGGACCTAGAGAATTTAAAAATTGGCTCACATTGGGAGCTTGATAAGGTGGATGATAGCCTTGAGAATTTTGTACTTGCATGTAAGGTGGAACACACTTCCCTTGAAAACCACTTTGGGGAGGATTTGAACCTTCCCCTTGGCATTTCCAAGAGAAATTGAGGAGATTTCTCCACCCGGGATTGTAATGATTGCTATAAGGATTATGTTAGCCTAATAATTGACTCTGGAGGGGGGGTGAATAGAGTCAATGGCTAATTTTCACAAATTATAGAAATACAATTTCTAATCAACAATATAACCTATTATGCAATAATCAACATGTGAAATCAAGATATGAAAGTAAACAATTTATAGCACAATTGTAAAAGAGAAAAGGGAAGAGAAATTGCAAACTATAACACGGCGATTTTTGCGAAGTTCGAAAACTCCTACTCCTCGGCTCAAGATCCCTCTTGAGGCTTCCCAATCCAATATAGCTTTTCCTTACGGGTGGAGAGCAAACCTTTACATGAAGCAAGACCTTGCTTCTTTTCCTTGCTAAGAGAACATCCTTCTCCTAGGCTTCTTTTGGGTCACACCAACCCTTACAAGTTTGAAGAAAAGATTGTAATTGAAGTACAAGATTGAATCTCTCTCAAGATAGATATACAATTGCAAGCTCACAAGAAATATCTCTCAAAGATTGATGTATAAACTTTTAGCTCTCAACTAGAGTATATATGAATATAAGTGAAGCTCAAACTCTATAAATGATTTGAATAAGAGAAGATGATATAAGTGAAGAACAAAAGCTCTAATAAACTCAATAAGATCTCTCAAGTGTAGAATAGAACAAAAGCTCTTATGAAGATTCGAATTAGAGCAAAAGCCCTTTGAATCCTTAGTTAAATCTCTCAAGATTTGTATATGAGTGAATGAGAGAGATGAAGAGAAGATTGAGAACAAAAGCTCTCTTTAATGCAATGTGAAGGCTTTCAAATGATGTCTCTTAGTTATTAAGACATTCCTCACTCTATTTATAGAGTTTCCAAGCTCTATATAGCTGTTGGGAGTGGAATGCACGAGGGTTGAGAAGAAAATAGCCGTTGCAGTTTGAAATCTACAGATCTGCGACCAAACCGGTCGACATGTGGCTAAACCGGTTGTCATCTTGGCTTGAACCGGTTGATGTGTATTGCAAACCAGTCGACATCTCTTGCAAACCAGTTGACATCTACTGAGCTCCATTTGGACATTTGCTACTGCCTAGATATCGGTAGACATGTGTGTCAAACCGGTCGACATGTGTGAGCTCCAGGTTGGATTTTTGCATTGCCTAGAT